CCAGGAGATCTAGCCCTTTGACTATCGCCGGACGGGCTTTGACCAGTGGACTCTTCCACCTGGTTGCGATAGGTCAGCCCATAGCAAACATCGCGGAACACGGTCTGGACCCAACCCACCACTAGATTCCCTCCGGTTCTACCGTACTCGCACGATTCCCCCCTCCAAGTGACGGCGGCACTGCCGTCCGTGGAGGGGGGAGCCTAACCAAGGAACCCAAAGCGGGCGTCTACGCATGCCACAACACTTTCACACATGCATCAGGACCCGTGCGATGTTTCGGTGGCATAGCTACACTCCGATTCCCCCCTCTAACCAGATTCCCTTCGTGTCGACCGTTTGCGCCCCCCGTGACACGTCGGCTGCGACGTCCGTGAGGGGGGCAACTGATATACCATTGGGGTATGTTCTTTGTTTAGATAAGGCACATTTGTGTTGTGAAAAAAATAAAATTATAAATAAAATAGGGAAAATTTGAACAAATTCTATGCGGCCGTCGGCATAGCTGCGCACACGGTGCGACGATGCCCTGGATCGATGAAATGGCGAAGCACGCGGATTGATGACGTGGCAGAGGCCATGGGCCAGGCCTACGTTGACGGCTATGCCATCAGCATACCTCTGCCACACCACGGACCCCTTTCACCTCGGATCGATGATGTGGAGACGGCGCGGATCAGTGATGTCAGCAAATCTATGCCGACGGCCGCCGTTAGCCCCCATCGGCGTAGTTACGACGCCGTCAAATGGTCGCCGCTGACCGGGTAGCCTGGCCCGGGCTATGCCGACGGCCACCGTAGGCGTATCTCGAGCGGTCCCGACGGCCGCGGTATGCCAACGGCCCCCGTCGGCGTAGATTGACATATGCCGACGGCTTTTCTACGCCTACGGCCTGCCCTAGGCCACCGGGATATGTCCATCTATGCCGACGGCCCCCGTCGGCATAGATGAGGCCGTCGGCAACTACGTAAATTCTGGTACTGCGACTGTCGTTGCTCCTGTACTGCCGTCCACAGTGTGCAAAATTGGCAGATCGTACTCCATAAAAACCTAGCATTCAGAACACTACGGTCATCTTTGGCAGCCAGAAGTTTTCGGGCTCACCTGGACTTGCTCCAACATCGCCAAAAACTGATCCGGTGGTCCTAATACCACGTTTGGAGACAAAGCAGGTGGCATCAGGGTGTTGCCTCCTTTTACTGCTCAATCTGATTATCAGGTATACATATACTCCCTCCGTTCTCAAATATTTGTTTTTCTAGCCATCTCAAATGAAATACAACATACGGATGTATGTAGACATGTTTTAAAGTGTAGATTCACTTATTTTGCTTCGTATGTAGTCACTTGTTGAAATCTCTGGAAAGACAATTATTTAGGAACGGAGGGAGTACATACAATGAATAACGTGCCACTTTACTTACGGATGGACGAAATTCAATCTGATTCTCACTTATACACACACACACACACACACACACACACACATATATATATATATATATATATATATATATATATATATATACAAATAATCAATAGGGAACCATTTTATTTAATTTACGATGATAATGAAGATGATCCTTGTAAGATTGTGACTACAGCTTGAACTTGTTGTACCAGTCCACGAGTCGCTGTAAGCACCCAGGTTTAGTCTCGAATAGTGGACTGAAGTATTTATCCACGTCCTCCTTAAACCATGGTTCGCCACAGTACATGCGATTGAACATGGCAGTTGATAGAAGCCACACGACGGTAATGAACTCACCGCCGCTGTTGAGCTGCCTGGCGTGGGAATCCCTGCTGCAGTGGTGGGACGCATAGCACAACATCTCCACCCACACCCCAAGTACCACCTTCAGCACCTCCGGCACGCCCCGCTCCTCCATATCTAGCAGCCTTCTGGCAAGCTCTGCTCCATGGGCTAAGGCAGGCGGAGCTCCAGAGCCAAGCTCCTTTCTTTGGATGCGTTCAATGAGATTCTTCGCACCTGGCTTACCCAATCCCACATATCCTACTTCAGCAGTGGCATACAATCCTGGCCGAACAGGGCTGGGAAGCATGTAAGGCCGTTCAACAAGGAGGAATAACATGTAGTTAGACAGCTCCCTGATTGCCTCCACAAGGGGACCTGCATGCCAGGTATAGATGAAAATTTCCGTGGCAAAATGCCAGGTAAAGATTTTATTATCAAAATCAATGCCCGTGTTCAAGGTGGGATCCTCAAAGAATCCATGCCATGGATTCAACGCGCACTGGCCACTGTAACTCATCATGATTTCCTCTTTACCTGCACACGCCTCCACCATTCTTTGAATCTCTTTTAGCACCAACTTCTTAGTAGCATCTGAAATCACAGTTAAGGAAGGGTGCATCTTCTTCCACAAGTCCCCGCACACAAACAAATTACGCTGCTCGAGTCCAATCGTAACTTGAACGGTTGACCCATCCACCTCCAGCAGCATTAACTTGTACTGTCCAATGGAACCTAACCATCTTCTACTTCTTTCTGCTGCCTTGACATGCCGCCGAGCAGATATGATTATGCTATGGAGCCAATCCCATCTTCCAGCACGCAACAATGCACACATCCATGTTGATCCAATCGCCCTCAACACTGATGCTGTCTCTAGGAGGAAAGCCCCACCCAGTAAGATGTACGTGACGATGACATCAACTCTTCCGAAATCATTTGTACCATTGCTGGATCGAAAGAGGAAGAATGTGGTGATGATGGCAACCAATGAAACAACACGGATGAAGCATCCCCGCCATGTGTGGATCACGGTTGCCTTGGTGTACAAAACATCATGCATCAAAGACAGCTGCATCTCAATCAACTCACACGCACATCCCTTATCAACTACTACCCTTATGGCTTTACTCTGGAATGGGGACGGCCAGAACTTATAATCCATGAACTGACCCATGCAAATGGGGAGCAGGTCATGAGCTCCCTGTAGAACCTCTTCAAAACCCAACCCCTCTGCCTGGTCCCACAATTCATGCGGGCGGTAAGGCGCTATTTGATCTTGTTGTTGAGCCTCTCTAAACTTCCTACTTTCAAGGAGGTTACTGATGTTCTCCAGGTTAGCTGACTTAAGCGCCCATACTCTCTCCCCATACTTGAGGATACCAGCGACAAATATCAACACCCCGCCTGTGACCATGGTCCAGCTGCCTGCCGTATACTTGTACAAGACATAAGCTACTCCAAAGGCCTGCACAACCAGAGAGAGTAGGTGGCGTGGCCATAGATGGTTGTCTTCCATGGCATAGGCAGTGACAGTGTCCTGGCCACCGAGATGCACCAACAGGAACGGCGTCCAGAACGCCGCAAGCTGTTGGTACTCATGGGACTTACTACAGAAGGACATGTGGCCAAGGATGTATATCTCTATGGAGTCAGCCAGCAGGTATGCTAGCCAGAGCAGGGTCCTTGGGACGATGGAGATGTTCCGCCGTCGCGTTCTAGCAAACATGAGCAAGAACACTTGCAACACAAAGCTAAAAAGCACTAGGACTTGGACCTCCCAATCATTCCACAGGCGCACCACTCCAGCCATCAGCGACCACTGAAATCCACATGGCAATCATCATATATACCAAAAATAAATTAGTTAAAGATACGCAAACTCCTTGAAAAAGTACACACAATGACAAAGAAAATCTTACAATGATACGCAACACAGTAAAACGTCGAATATATGTACATGTATCTATGATTTTCTACTTCCTTGATTTTTCTACGAATTTGTCTACGTAGTTCACACACTTGAGCATCTTTGCATAAGTACATAGTATATCGATGCACTCTGAGATAAGATGCAGAAGGTCCAGCAACACGACGGTGTCCTCCTCCTCTTCCTACCGCATTGACCTCCCGCGCTGGCGGGGAGGAAACCCTATACCGCCGCCGCCAGAGAACTCGGCCAGGCAAAGCTCCACCGGAGCCAGCGGGGCTCCCTCGTTCCCTGCGTGTAGGGGCTGGCGCAGGTCTGCCTCCTGGGGCTATGACGTGGGGCAGGCGCTGGGAGCCTTGGCGGAACAATGCGCGGGTGTGCTGATAGGCGCATGCAGGTGCAGTGGGCAGCGCTTTGGGCGGCATGGTTGATGGAGGTTCATGTAGGGGTGAGCTATGGTGGTGGTGGATCTGGCGCCCAACGGGTTCCTGAGGTGAGGGTTGGGGGCAGCGGATGATGATGGCGGTGGTGTCCGGCGGTCTCTTCTCACGGGCGTGTAGGCGGGGCATTGGTCGGTTGGTGGTGGCCTTTAAGTTGGACTACGGTTACAGTCTTACAGAGCTCTGCTTGTGGAGCCGAGGCAGAGCTCTGTAAGTATCGAATCTATGCTTTAGGCTGCGGACATGGCGTTGTCTGAGCTGATTACATGAAGACGTCGTCGTGGTTTTCCTCTCGGTGGCATAGGTCCAGGTGAAGACATTAGTCCGTTATCAGGCTCTGCACCGGCGATGCTTAGCGTCGTTCCCCCTCCTTGTGGAGCTTAGGTGACCTAGGGTGTGTCATGGTGTTGTATTTTAGCTTAATTGTTTTCTTTCTCGGCAATGTAATCGTGTGTGTTTATGATGTCTGGTTATCCCGGGATCTGCTTGTAAGAGGGCCTCCTCGGTACCATGTATATATTGTTCAGCCTTGTACCTTGGTTGTTGCTTTACCTATATAATATAAAGAGGGGCGCGAGCCTGTTTTGACATGAGCGCACTCTATATAATATTCTTGTGGTAGGCTAGACCAACCAAATGATACATTTGACATAATATGCACTGTTGTAACCTCTGGGCGCCAAATAAACTACGAAAACCACCTGTCTAATTCAGTGAGTGAACACAAGTGAGGAAAAAAAGACACGCGATGGTTCCAGCACTATAACCTACTACATACATTTTAGAGCAGTTTTAACATGCTCCCTCTGGGGGTAAGAGGGAGCATGTTAAAATTTGCCTACATTTTAGGAACAATTGATGTCTAAGCTAAAAAAGATTATCTACAATGCTTCAGAGAAATGCTCCATTGATAATACAGTTTTCCCAATACGAAATTTCAGAAGGAAAAAAACATACAGGTATTACCCTCTCAATATTTATTATACATGCACGCCGCAAAAAAGTTATTATTATTATTATACATGCACAAGCTACTACTGACACATTTTAAAATTCGAATATAAGACAGGGAACATCATTTTTTGGTTCGGTGGAGCACCTAATTTGCAGTCTATGTAGATCTTAAGCATGTAAGAGAAACTAACCTTAACCGCACGAGACACGAGCGAGATTTACTCCCTGTATATGCAGAGGGACTCCAGTTCTAATTGGCTGGCTATGCATCTACGAAACAGAAGACCGGGCAGACCTTTGGATGTTTTGATCCATCAAAAACTTGGTCTCCAGGGGCTACATATTATATGTCAAAGGAAGTTGAGGAACCAGGTTCCTTGCCCTGCCCCTACCCTAAACAACGACCCACAGCAGCCTTTTTGTCTCTGAAGGAAAAGGCATTCACTGACCCTGCTTACTCTATCCGTAATTAGGTGGGTGACCATCCCTAGATTTTGTTATGTGCCAAACAAAGTATTAAAGCCCACAGAAAAGATAAAGCAAGGCCAGCTAATGTCTTTCTTAGCACAAACTAAATAGACAAAATCTGCCATGACGAAAAGAGAAAGTTGTAGGTGCGGGACCTTGGCCTTTGGATCCTTTCCTCTCTTGCTTCTGCTGCAGCAAAACATTAGAAAACCGTGCAAAGATAAAACACTCCCTGCTTGGAAGTAAGGTATGATTTGTATTTCAGAACAAGAAGCAAGGTATGATTCGCAAATGGCATCACAATCAAGCTTATACCTTACAGACCCACCTCTTCCAGTCGCTAGTAGCAATGTAGGCGCGGAGAGCTCCTTTGGCTGATGCTGGATCCAGGGTTTCGTCCGTCCCCTCGAGTCGTCAGTAAAGCAAGATCTGGCAATGCGCTGCTGTTCGGGGGCTGGCGCAACGAGCGGCGGAAGTGGCGACCAAATGGTGGGGCGGTGAGGTGGCAGCACGCGACACAGGGCCGGCCCTAGGTTTCGGGAGGCCCTAGGCGAACTCGACGATATGGGCCCCTATGTCCTAAGACCATATATGTATGCGTGTGCGTGATATGTAAACATATTTTGTGTGTAACTTCATTTGAATGATATTAAGACTAAACTTTCAACCACACACCTTTAGTTTGAGATTTGACTATAATAATTGTTGGACAATGCCATATTACCAAAGAAGTAATAAAAAGATAGCAAAAATGAACTAACATGACATGATTACCTCAAATAAGAACCAAATTCGACTGACTCCATCTACAACAATAATACTTCACTGCTTCAGAAAAAGTTTTTTCAGACGTTCCTTGATGCAAAGTCATTAAAAGGGCAATATCAAGATCAACATTGTCCAAGATATCCTTCTCAATGCAGCACATAGCCAAGTCATTCAATCTATCTTGCAACATAGTTGACCTCAAATAATTTTTCAGTAGTTGCAGTTTAGAGAAATTTCTTTCAGCTGAGGCTACACTCACAGGCATTGTTAAGAGGATCCAATAGGAAACAGAGACATTTGGATAGCAACCTACAGCCATAACAAACTCAAGAATCTCAAGTTCCGACATCAAACCATCTGGCAAAGTTACCTGCAACACTTTCAACTCAGAGACAAAATTATCAAGATCAACTTCCCATAGATTGCTATCATCCAAGAGAGAGAGAGAGAGATAGCGTGGTTGACCAGTCATGAGAGAGAGAGAGAAGATGGTGTTTGCCTTGTCTGAAAATTGTGATGGGTTTAAAAAAAGAATCTTTTTGGAAAAACTTCCAATCTATTCATTTTCAATCATGACAGTACGACAAACACCGAAAATAATAAATATTACATCCAGATGCGTAGACCACCTGACGACGACTACAAGCACTGAAGTGAGCTGAAGATGCACTGCCATCATCGGCCCTCACATCGCTGGAGCCAGGCCAAACTTGTTGTAATAGACAGTCAGAAAGTTGTCGTGATAAGACTTAACACCACATAGGACTAACACATCAGAACAACAACCGTCACTGATGAAGAGAAGCGTTGATTGGAAGGATCCAACCTGAAGACACACAAACATAGACAAAACGAAGGGCGGATCCGATCAGATCCACCAAAGACAACCACTAACTAAATCCAGCGAGATCCACCAAAGACACACCTCCACATGCCCTTCGATTATGCTAAAGACATCACCTGGATGGGCTCTAGGCAGGGAGTACCTTATTCCTTCTTCAGGGAGCCGTTGTCGTCTCGCCTCCTCGAACATAACACAAATCCTAACAAAACTCAATGAAACATCTAAAAACGGAGCCCTGTCGGCGCCAAGGGTCGGGACCAATGCGGCCCCGAGACGAGGAACATTGGCGGGCCGCCGACAGGAGGCAGGAACCCTCGTCGCATGCTCGCTTGGGAGGAGAGACGAAGGGGTAGGCCGACAAAAAATGAGGACACCAATAAGTCCCGAACATTTGGGATTTGACCACGGGAAATCGAACTTTTTTTGTGGCAATTTATATTTGTTGACCATGGTAAGTTTAGTTGGCAAGCATGGAAATCCCTCGCCAGTTTTTTTGTCAGGAAATTGTCATCCACGCGAACTAAACTTGCCATCCTCACATCAACTAAAAGTGCCTTCAAAATGTTTAATTTGCCATGGTCAAAAATCTGAAGTTCGGATTTTTATCATTTCTGAAAAATAATCATTGTTCAATACATGTATGATTTTTTCCACATGATTGCACTTATTAGCTTTGTACTCATTTACTTAATACTCCGCCATCTCTTCCATCCATTTAGTTCATTTGGATATCAGGCATATAATATACTATCATTTTCTCGCGATATGTGATGACTATTACATAGATTTCCTAAAGTTTAAAAAGGTGCCCAAAAACAGTTGTAAGTTCAGATCACAGATTTTTGAAGTAATGGCAATTTGTTAGATAAAGGGCGGACGAAAAGATAGGAAATGAAGGGGAAGGAAGGGTAGTGTGAAAGATGTTGATTTGTCTTTGCATGTAAGTGGTGGTTAAGGAAACTGACCACGACTCTCAATGAGCAAAGAAGTAGAAGAGAGTACGAAAGTCCATGAATCTGAAGTCAAATGCACCCCGATGAACAGTAAAATCAAAAGAATCTAGTAAAAATGTGCATTTTTTTCTGTGTGAATGGAAACCATGCCTCACCCACTTTTTTGTTTTTTTGGAGGAGGATAACCCGGGCTTCTGCATCAGAATCAGAACGATGCATGCAGCCATATATTATTAATAAAGCAAAATCCAGCAGCCGAACGATCTCAACCAGAAGATAAAGCGAAAAACAAACCCTAAGGCCGTATACCTCGCGACGGTAACTCCCTCAGATAGCCACTAACCCTATGTTACAAGAGATATCAGAAACGAAAAATACACAACTCACAGGCTACACCTTCAAGAAGGAATCGCCGCACGTACGCCGATGATGACAGTCCACCACAAGGTTAACCTCCGGATTCTGATCCCCAAAGCCAAGCTTCAATCCACCACCTTTAGCAAAGACACGACGCAGCCGCGCGTCAACATAGCCCGATCAGAGATCATGTGTTTCCACCAGAGTGCATAAACTCGTCGTTGAAGCCGTCTGTACCATCTACCCATATCTGTCTAACGACTCCTCGAAAGCCGGATACCTCTGGAGAAGACAACGGAAGACAAAGACGCCGCATACCACCTGCCTCCCGCAACTGTCGCACAACCTTCGATCCAAGAACAACAGGCTAAACATGGCACCTCCGCCAGAGCCACCGTGCATCACCTGCCGGTAGCAGACATGATTTGACGTCTTCGTATAAGACGTCGTGCGTAGCATCTGCCGGTAGCGCATCCACAGATGCCTTCACCTGTCGGCGACATGCACTACACGACAACTCCGAAAGAGACGCATGTGTCACCTGCCGAGCCGCATCAAATCTGATCTGTTGATGAAGGGGACGTCCCATACCGCCATCAGCCTCAGAAAGGCCGTCGCCACCTCGAGATCCAGACTCCGAGTCACCCACACAACCCTGGAGTCTGCCGCCGTCGATGAAGAGGGTCAGCCGCCCCGATTCCGAGCAGTACAGGGAGCACCCACCGTCGTGCCAGCAGCTATCGTCGCCCACGCAACGTCAATAGCCGCCCCGCGATCCCGCATCCAGCGTCATCGACGCCAGAGGAAGCTCCAGCCGCCACGCGCGTCCTGTAACATCCCCGGGAGAGGGTTCCCAAGATCCACCGCCACAAGGACCCACCACAAGGCCTCACCCACTTTTTTGAATTGGAACAATTGTTTGAGACAGGTACAAATAATTTGTGGACTCTCTCTTCTACGAGGATGTTTATGAGTCGATTTTGTAGCTACATTTCTCTCTTTCTTTTTTTGCGGGGGGTACATTTCTCTGTTTGCAGCAATAATTCTACTCGTAGCAACGTCATGGACCTGAAGTGAGCATTTTGTATATATGGTTTACTTGGACGACCGACACGGAGGAGACAGAGCAATCGTGTGCAAGTTGCGTTGCGTGGCGTTGCACCGACACCAAGATATACGCGACATGACACATCCATCCATCCGTTCCGCCCCCTCTGCAGAATTGGGCTCGAATCCGCTCCTTCTTTCAAATGCCCCATGACCCGGTCTGCCCCCTCTGCAGAATTGGCCTCGAATCCGCAACCCACCTCTTTGCTGATTCACAGCTGGTGCTTGGGTTTCTGACTGAGAGCATCTCCAACAGCCGTCTAACGCGTGGCACGTTAAAAATCAGAATACATTGCCGGGTGAGCCAGCTTTCGCGCGCGGCGGTGCGCTGGCTCCAGCGACCGCCGTAATAAAACACGCCCGAGCCGCTCCAGAAGGCGCACTATATTTCATCTTTTTTTTCCTTGGCGCATACTATGTGAACGACGATTCGATACACATTTGGTTCCGATAGTACAAATGTGAGATAGTTCGTCACATAGCCTGCTTCTACGATACAAAATAGTGCATAGATAGTTCATAGTCTTCTCCTACGATAGATAGATAAAACGAAAAACTACTACTACTCGTCATTCTCCGACTCGGACTCTGCCTCGGTGATGTCCTCCTCCGACGTCTGAGCGTAGGCGTCAACGAACCGCTTGTCGCTGGAGACCCAGGACGACGCATCTCCTAGCGCGATGTTGAATTTAGCGACCGCCTTTCCGCGTTCGCTTGTCCTCGTGATAGGCGGCTCGCTCCTCCCTCCTCTCCTCCCTCTCCGCCCTCCTGTCGGCAAAAAATTGTTCCTCGTTGATGATGTCTTGCGGGAAACGTTGGCGCCACAGCGCCATGGCTTCCTCGTCTATCTCGGCCAGGCTGAGACGGCGCTCCCACCTTCGGTTCTCGCTACGATCCTCGTCGGTGATAAGCCGCGGGGGAGGCGCCAACTCCTATGCCCGCTCCCGCGTCGCCACGTCCGTGAAGTTCATGTCCCAACGGGACCGCCGATGGCGCCACGCCGCAGCGTCGTACGTGCGGGCGCCAACCTGGGCGATGTCGAAGGTTCCAAGACCGAGGCGCACGCCGCCCGACCGAATCTCGGCGGAGTAGGTGCCGGACGAACGCACACGAACGCCGCAGTAGCCCGAAGCTCCCCGGCGACGAGGCGGCATGGTAGCGCGGTGGTGGCGTGTCGGCGGCGAGGAAAGAATGCGGTAAAGGGAGCGACGAGAGAGCTGCAGAGGGCGCTGTAATTTTATAGACGCGCCGGGCGCTGTGCGTCAAATTTAACGTGCGAGCTGCCGCCTTTTTTCACGCATGCAATAGTTTCCTGCGCGCGCTAGGAGCGATCTCAGTGGAGTGCGACGTTGCTTTCAGTTCCACTTCCAGCCCCAGGCGCATGCAGCTCATCTATTTATGGCAGCTCTGCTCATCTATTTATGGCCATGGAAATCGCAGGTGCAGCTCTGCTCAACCTGGGCTGAGTCGGAGCTAGTGACGGTTTGTGGCGATGGAGAAGCTGCTGTCCTCGGCGGTGGCGTCTCACGATCACGAGACGGTCCCGGGGCGGTTCCTCCTACCGCCGGCGCCGCCCGTGTCGCTGCCCGTCATCGACCTCTCGGGCGGCCGCGACGAGGTCCGCCGGGCCGTGCTCCGCGCCGGCAAGGAGTTCGGCTTCTTCCAGGTGGTCAACCACGGGGTGCCGGAGCGGACCATGCGTGAGCTGGGGACGGCGTGCGGCGAGTTCTTCCGCCTTCCCCTGGCGGACAAGGTGGCCTTGTACTCGGAGTCGGAGGACACGGAGCGAACCAACCGGCTCTTCTCCAGCACCATGTGCGTGTCCGGCGGCCAGAGCTACTGGCGCCACTGCCTCCGCCTCGCCTGCTACCCCGTGGAGAGCACCAAGCCCGGCTGGCCCGAGAAGCCGGCCGCGCTCCAGCCCGCCCTCGAGGACTTCATCGTCCCCGCGCGCAGCGTCGGGATGGAGCTCCTCCGCCTCCTCTGCGAGGGGATCGGGCTCCCGCCGGACTACTTCGAGGGCGACCTGAGCGGCGGCGAGGTGATCCTCAACGCCAACCACTACCCGGCGTGCCCGGACCCGGGCGTCACCCTCGGCCTGCCGCCGCACTGCGACAGGAACCTCATCACCGTGCTGCTCCAGCCCGGGTACGTGTGCGGCCTCCAGGTGTCGTACGACGGCGGGTGGATCGACGTCGAGCCCATCCCGGAGGCGCTCGTCATCAACTTCGGCCATCAGCTGGAGATCGCCACCAACGGGCTGCTCCGGAGCGTGGAGCACCGGGCCGTGGCCAACGTCGCCGTGGGGAGGACGTCGGTGGCGGCCTTCATCATGCCAACCATGGACTGCGTGGTGAGGCCCGCCAAGGAGCTCCTCGGAGAGGGCAGACCGGCGAGGTACCGGAGCATCGCGTTCCGCGACTTCATGCGCAGCTACAAGCTATGAGATCCATCGAGGGGAGGAGAGGAGATGGGTACAGATGGTGATTGGGAATGACTGAATCGATATGAACGTGCTATTAGCCTGTTACTTGTTTGATTAACTACTGCTCCCTCCTTCCCATAATGTAAGACAGTGTAGTGTCAAAAAACGTCCCATATTATGGGATAGAAGAAGTGTATTTGTAAATTCGTCGCATCTCTACTCCTAATGGACGACTTGATGAATAGTCTCCGCGGTTTAATTTCGCTGGGTTTTTTTGTCATTCTCCCACCTTCGGTTTTTTTCGTCATCCTCCAACCTCCGTTAACTCGCAAATCTCCCGCGAAAAAAAACCATGCCAAAAAAAACCCTACGATCGATGCCTCGTAATCGTGGTGAAGGAGCGACGACCCCTCGATCTATTCGCGACGCCAACGCCGTTTTTGCCTCTTCCGACACCATTGATTCATTTGCCAACCGCCTGCCTAGATCATCCTCCATATTTCCTTTCTGTTCATGCGCTAATCATATCAACAACGTGCACACCGCAGCTAGATGAAATAGATCGAAATTGAGGTTCTGCTTGCTCGTCCTCCATCCTGCTGCTCCGCCACAACTTTCCCCAACTCCGGTTGCACTGCCGCCCTCCAGTGCCCCTACCGCCACTCCTATCGGCCCCTCTCCGGCGCACATTGTGCCCCTGCCCCAAACCTCCCATTGGTTGTGGTTCTCGTCACATGCAGCACCCTAGGAGGCGGCAGCTGCACCTCGCATCATTCGTTTGCCTATTTCAGCAACACAGATGATGAACAGCATATAGCAAGGTTAGCTCTAGCAAGAAGCTCCACCTCATGGTCAGGGTGGACGCAGCGATCGGGCTTTTTGGCCCGCTCGTGGCCCAAGAAGGACCGGACCGCTCGGTCCCAGCCCGCTAGCAAAATTGGCCGGTCCGGTCCAGGAAATTAGGCCCGCTCAGCACTCGGTCCGGTCCGGTCTTTGACCGGGACCGCTCGGCGGACCGAGAAAGCGCATTCACCGCCGCCGCCGTGCTTCGTCGTCGTGGCCACCGGCGTCCCCTGAGTGAACCATCATGTCCAGGAGCTTCCCCTCACCTTCCTTCCTCTCCTCCCTGTGCCCCATAGCCTGTTTTTTCCGCTCGCCGTCGCTGCGGTGCGTGCACTGAAGCCGTTCGCGAGTTCTCGACCATGCCAGTTCACCGTCCATGGTGTTCGAGCGCCGGAACAACTTCTGTGTTTGTCTCCCTCCCCTCCGGTCGTGTCTCCGGCGATCACCATCCACTCGCGATTCCATTTTTGCGCCGAGATCGCCAGCAGCCTCATGCAGCTCGGCGACCCCGACGTGTTGCGCCGCCTCGCGGGCAGCTCGGGCAGTCGCCGGAGGGGATGCAGAGCATGTGAACCACCTTCTACACGAGCGGGCTCGGCGTCGGGAACTTCCTCAACAGCCTGCTCGTGACGTTTGTCGACCGGGCCACCAGGGCGAGCGCCGGCAAGAGCTGGATCGGTGACAACCTGAACGACTCGCACCTCGACTACTACTACGTGTTCCTGCTGCTGCTCTCCGTGGTGAACATGGCGCTCTTTGTGTGTAACTAAGACCAGAACTGCAGCTAAATAGGCACTAAACAGAAGCTGGAAGGACAAGTTGGCTCGGTCCCAACGAGCCGGAAAAGCTTGACCGAGCTGGCATCACTTCGGTCCGGTCCTGAAAATACAGACCGCTGGCAAGCTCGGTCCGGTCCGGTCCGGACCGCCGGCGGCCGGTCCAAACATGTCCAGGCTGACCTCATGGTGCACTTGGATTTGTGAGGTCCCACAACTACATGTGGGCAGTGTAAAGTACACGAATCAGCGGCAGTAGATATTTACTAGTAGTGATCTAAGCGGCCTTATATTAGTTTACATAAGAAGTACCAAACCAAACAAAGGAAAATAATGACAAATTTAACAAATAATTTACCTTTGCAATAAACGAATAGAGGTGTGTACCACAACACATCAATGATACATGGGTAAAAAGACATACACATGAGGATTAAATAACCTCAACTTAAAATACTATAAAGAAAATGCAATGCAATCCGAATGAAGGTAAAGACAAAATAGTACTTCAACAAACAATTAAACAAACAAACAAACAAACACCGCAACACAAGACTTTTTAGAACTGTGCTTGAATCCAATCTACAGTGTTCTTCTCCACCTGGAATGCCTTGGTGATAACATCATCTGAGATGGCAGGCTCCGATCCAAACACCACGTTGGCTACCGTGATCACTCCGGGGTTCTGGCTGCTCAGCGCCGCGATGGCCACCGCATGAGTATTCCCATTATTGAACTGGTAATGGACGAGGCCCTTGGGGAACACAAACACGTCTCCCTTGGCGAGAACCTTGGTGAAGTGCCTATTGTCAGGGTTCGAGGTGACGAAGCCGACGTGGAGACAACCCTCTAGCACGGTCAAGATCTCGGTGGAGCGCGGGTGGCTGTGAGGAGGGTTGAGGCCGTTTGGCGCATAGTCAATGCGGACGACAGAGATGCCCATGGTGTTAAGGCCGCCAATCTGCGCGACGTTGACGGCGGTCACCGCGGAGCCCTGCTTGTTCGCCGTGTTGCCGGACAGATGGATGCCAGAAAAGAAGAAGTCCTCGGCGACGACTTCGTTCGCAGCTTTGCAAGGCAGCCCATTGACACGCACTGCGGTGATTGGATGCATTCATCGAAGATGTGAGAGACGAGTGATCGGTTAACTACAATTCCATGAGAGTACATCAGTCAGTGTGCATTGACATTACCTTGAGACGTCTTGTCAGCGACGCAGAAGTCCTGGAGAAGGCTGGGGTCGGAGGCGGCGACGCCATGCTGTGAGCATGCAAAGGCCAAGAGAGCACCTGCAAGGAGCAGCACACGAATGGCCACCATGTCTCTTTGTTTTCACCTCACTGAAACAATTTACCAAGCAGTGTTGATACTGGCAGGAACGTGCCCTCTGTCAAGCTTTGGGAAATGGTTGCTGTGCTGCTTGAACTGTGATCTCTAAACAACAATGGAGGTTAGTATTTATAGGGAGATCCTGACATAGTGCCATGTACACTAGTGTAGAACCGGGCAATAGCACCGATTCGTAAGGCCCTTTAGTACCGGTTCCACAACCCGCACTAAAGTGTGGTCACTAAAGCCCCCCCCCCCTTTAGTACCGGTTCAGCACGAACCGGTGCTAAAGGCCAACCACGTGGCACGAGGCAGTTCCGGGGGCCGGGAGCCCTTTAGTACCGGTTGGTAACACCAACCGGTACTAAATGTTTGTGGGTTTTTATTTTATTTTTTATTTTTCAATTAAATTTGTGTTATCAATTTAATTCTTTTTCGTTTGCTGGTATTTTACGATACTACACATTGTACACGTTATGCACATATATATATAGCTATACATGTGTGTATGTGTGAATTAATTAATATGATAATTTCTAGTAGAACCAATCATGCATATATATATATATATATATATGCATGATTGGTTCTACTAGAAATTATCATATTAATTAATTCACACATACACACATGTATAGCTATATACAATTTCTCCTACATATGCATGTTGCCTTCGGAGCCAGTGGTATTAGCCTAATTGGTGCCTTCGGAGCACGATGGAGGCGGTAGCGGGTAATAGTATTCTCCCTTCGGATTTATGACCTGGTCGAGCAAAATTCCGTTATTTCCTCTTGAAGTGCTTCTACGCGCTCCGTTTCTAGGAGCTTCTCCCGCACCTCTGTGAACTGTTAAAAAGGAGATCAATATGCATTTGTATTAGTTGTGTGACTAGATATCGATAATGGTGTAAAAATTGTGAATAGTGTTTTGACAAGCGTACTCATTCCTGTCTTTGAGATCTGCTCCTTTCGGACGCTATCATGCGAATGTTCTCGCAAACGCAGAATGCACACAGATCAGTCCCCTGCGCCTGCTTCAGGGCCTTTACGAGAATGGAATTTGATCAGATAATAATTAATCAAGCATGATAATTAAAGAGATGGCAGCTAGCTAGCTAGCTAGTACTGCTTAATTACTTACCTTGGGTCGAAACCATTTAAGCTTTTGTTTCCATTCTCTTGGGATCACGCTGATGAACCTTGCCCAAGCCCTGCCCGCCGACAAAGAAAATGAATAAAGGGGTTATTAAATAGTTCATATCATGAAAAATGACGAACTAAATAGGCCGAGATATATAGTTAATAATGATTGAAATTACATGTTGACTATCCCAAACAAGATGTTATAATCAGTTTTTTCTTTGAGTAGTGAGTCCAGTATTTCAACTGTTCCGGCGTCAACTTTAATGATACACAAGACCCAGTGAAATCTGCATGCACACACGTTTGCATGTCTTAATTAAGCGGGCATATTTAAAGAAAAAACATTAGCTAGCTAGTAGGAAAAAACATAGAATTTGTAGTACAAGACAGTGTGACTCACTGGAAGTTGTAAAAAAATAGTATATCTTCATTGTATTTGAGGCGCTTCAAGAACTCTAGCATGTTGTCCTCTACGTCCTTTTGATAACGTGGATTTAGTTTCCATGTGTATTCATTAACGGTGTTTGGGTCAATGAACCCAATGCCAAAGCGTCCACCGTTTCTCATTTCATATATCTTCATCCTGCATATAATACCACAGAAAAGAATATAGTGAGGATAATTACAGGTAATGATTGATCAAAAGGATCAGTACAGCTAGCTTGAGACTTAAATTACAGAAAGAAATCACTTACAGACAATAGCAACTGACGATAGATTTGTCGAGTGCGTCTTGATTGTATAACTGAAACAGTTCAGAATACTCAACGGACACAGCTTTCTCATGGAAGTAATGCTCCTCCTTGACATTCACCATGAGGGACAATCGATCGGAAATCTTGGTAATGTTCATGTACCATTGATGCAATTCATACATTCTCGTTGGGAGGTTCTTGACCTTGTCTGGCTCGACCAAAGGTTGGCCCCGGAC